CACAAATGTGCCATTTCTTCTATTGCAGTCTTTTCAGCATAAGATCCATCAGTCTTTTAAAATTTGCAGGTGCATTACATATGCCAGAAGGAATGACACAAAATTCAGAGAAACCATCTCAAATGTTAAGAGCAGACCTAAAACTGTTCAGTTTCATTGCCAGTAATAGATTCCAAGTCTAGCATTTTGAGCTAATAGAGACCTTACTACATATCTAAATATTTGTACATTCTCAGCAACAGAGGAATCATTTTACCATTAAAGTCCACAGACACTCTTGGCATTCCATTAGTCTTTTTCAGTGTCACTACTTGAGATGATCTAGCACTTTCTGAAGGTTTTAATACTCTGTTCTTCAGGTTCTGCTCTATTTCAGCATTTATCACATTTCTGGTGCTCCAAGGAAGACTACATAGTAGTTGTTTTAATGGATTCACGTCACTTGTGTCTCTGTGATGACAAGTGATTTTTCTATCTAATTGGCTATCTGGTCCTACAAACATGTCAAAAAGTTTCAATGGCAACTCACTGGGTTCCTGTTGCTATTCATTTTTGTCAGCATAATCATTAGACAGTGACCACAGATGTTCTGGCAGTCATGACAAAGTGCAGTTGAAGCAATATATGCTGTACTGCCAGCTTCAGTCACTTTTTCATCACTTACGATGCCAATGACCATTCTATAACAATAAACTTGTACTGGCATAAAGCTGATACATAGAGAAATAACTGTCCAAGAAAGTACAGCTTGGTTTCTGGAAACTGAAAAAACTGTGCCATGTTTTGATTCCATTGTTGCAGCATACAGTAGCAATACCTTAAACTGACTATATATTTCCGTTTAAAACCACTTTATTCAGAGATACAGCGAATTCATCTCCAATGTGTACTTTTGCAACCCACAGTTCCTTGTCTCTGACATACGAGTACTAGATGGTTCTACCATAGAAATGAGCTTACATTTCCCATAGGCCATGATGGATGATAACGTTCCTAAAATACCAGTGCTCAAGTCTTAAATCAGATACAATGATCTTCATTTTGCAAGATAGTAACAATAGGAAGCTGAAAATATGTCTCTTCCCATAATTCCAGCTTATGTTCATTTGCCCATATTATATTTACTGGTCAGATTGCTTATGTAGAGCTACTGAAACACTGCAAGGCCCAAGAAGATTCTGACAGCACCATTGTCACGTGTTAAAGATTTTAGTGGCAGTGTATCTTACAGGCATATGTAAAGTTAAATCTAGTTCTAAACTAGCCACTACATCTTTGGACACAAGCAAAATGCTGCACTTGCTCGAGTTTATGGACAATTATCCCAAGCTCCATTACCTTAAAGTAGCCTAAGCAGCAACAGCTATAAATTGTTGTTTACTCTTCTACTATTGCCTGGTAGATAAACATGAAGGAACCAGCTGTCTTTTCTATTACATGACAAAATGTGAATAGTTCCTCATCCAATTTCCAATGCTGCAGCTGAAGAAGTAACTCATACAGAAGTACCATTTTGAAGTACCTAACTACTGAAAAGGTTTTGCTGCATTGAAGCAGGGCCTACATAGCCCTGACTACCTACTATGAACTAGTGAGACTGCACCAGAACACTTGGTGGTGCTCGTAAGTAGTAGAACTGGAAGTTGAGTATTTCAAATTTAGAAGAGTTTCATCTGGTATAACTACTGCTTCATCCTTTCATGTATTTTGTTTAATATGATCCCCTTCAAACAAGGGTTTGCTTAGGAGTCCCTCAATGAGGATATATAAATGCTGTATCAGGCCATGCTTTCTCATGTAAATGATGCAACTCATACACACTGCCAAATTCTGATGGAGTCCATGTTTTTCAACTTTGCATTTAACCCTGTGAATAGCTCAGTTCTCCACCAGATCAAACCTTCAGTGCAACTTAACTTCTGGTAGATTACATTCTCCAGAGGCACTTTAAGCCATTTCTTGGTGAATGCCAACTTCAACCAATGATGGGGTCAACTGTGTTGGTTCCTTGAAGTTTTGAAAGATCTCTCAATTTGATCTCAGTATGCCAAGATGGCTAGCTCATCACCATAACAAACAAGTCCAATGGTCACCGACTTCTACCAGCCGGAGTGAACCTGATCAGCAGTCTGGAAGGTCCATGGGTGTGGTTCATCTCTATAGTTGTGAAGTCATATTCAAAATGTGGACAGTCTTTTGTATCTCCAAAATATAGCCTTCATCCAGGATAAAAGTTCTTCTTTGGCTGTGCCACATTTTCATATTTCACTCACCTTTTCCATCTCAATGAAATAAAGACTAACTTTAAATGGTGTAATAAAATACAAACATGAAATAGCAGAGTAACTCTGACAAACTCTACAAAAGTAACTCCTTAGTCACAGCACAACAACTTGTAATTTAATTACTCAGTTTGTGGTATTTTCAGGTAATACTAAGTGACAGGTAAGTTTTAAGTTTACAAAAGAAAAGAACAAGATTCTTGAAATTTGTTTACAGAACATGAATAAATCCACTTTAATAAAAAAAAGGGCTATACTAACACAATTATCTTGCTCTGAATCAAGTAAACCATCTTAAGAAATAAAAAACAACAGCTAAAGCCTTCCTAAAATGGCTGTCTTCTCTCTAAACAAAGCAACTCAAAGTAGAATGCTAGAACACTTGATTTTACAAACATCATAACACTTTCGTATAGTGCACAGAATAATAATGATGATTCTGATCAGGAACTAAGTTTATGATCTTATTTAGCCCTAAGATAATACAACAGAGCTTTCCAGAAGGCCAAGGTCAATCCCATTGTTAGACAAGGGGAGACCAGAGTTTTTGACATCTTATATTAATAATTTTTCAAGCCAAACTTAAAAACCTCACCAGTGCAGACATTATATTCCAGGGGTTTCCTTCTTATTGTATGAGAACAGATTAGAAATAAGCTTAGTACAAATTGAGGTGAGGTACATTCTATTTATTAGGTCGTCAAGAAATTAATGTTGGATTTGGAACACTTTCATTAACCCCCCCCCAAAAAAAACGCACATCACATATAATAGTTAAACGAACTGCCTAAATATCACGTTAGTGTAGCCTATATAATGTGTAAAGTTTAGTATACTCTAATCATAATGACACATTCAGCATGTAATGCTATTTGAATACAATAAGGGAAACAACGCCTATGTAGCCACAAAGAATATTAAAGAAGTTTATGGAAATGTTTTGAATGTTCGTAAGTGTCAACGATGGTTCAGCAAATTTTGTTCAGGTGACTTTAGCCTTGAAAACTGATGGCAGGGGCTAACATGTTGGAATTGAAATTGATGCTCTGAAGATGCTTATTGAGTATAACCCAGAGCAACACATTTGTGAAATGGCCCTGATGGTCTCTCATGAAACAGTACGTAAACATCTAAGGAATATGGGAAAACTTCATAAAGAAGGTGTTTTGGTGCCTCATGGACTCTCCAATGATTATCGTTTCCAATGTGTGAATGTTGCTTCATCTCTTCTGGCGAGTAATGCATGTGAACCATTTTTGGACAGAATTGTCACCGGTGATGAAAAATGAATTCTCTATGCGAATATCAAATGCCAAAAACAATGGCTCAGTCCTTGACAAAAACCATTTCCGACCCCAAAACCTGGACTAAATCTACAGAAAGTGATGCTTTGCATTTGGTGGGACATCAAAGGAGTAATTCATTTCAAACTCCTCAATGCACAGTGAACTGTCAATGCAGAGATCTATAACCAGCAACTGGAACATTTAAATTAAGCCTTCATCAGAAACGCCCTTCACTCATCAATCGGAAAGGTGTTCTTCTTATCCACAACAATGCACGTCCACATGTGGCACATTTGACACAACACAAAATTATGTAGTTGGGTTGGGGAGTTCTCCCCCATCCACCATATTCTCCAGATATGTCACCATCAGATTACCATCTTTTTTGTTTACTGCAACACTATCTTAATGGGAAAATGTATGCAAATGTGGAAGGTGTTAAAGAAGACATGTTTTTTGCTTCAAAGCCAAGTGATTTCTTTAATCAGAACATTAACAACCTGACTGTTAGATGGAAAAGCATCATTGATAAGAATGGAGAATATTTCATTTAATATATGTTGTGTTGATATACAAGTTGTTCAGGTTTTTTCATCTAAAAAAAGTGACTAATTTCTTGACGACCTAATACTTAAGATGAACAAGTCCAATTAATCTGCACTCCATTTTGAAAAAATTTTGTTTGAATGTAGCTGAATGAAAAGCTATTAACATTAAGTTATAAAAAGGTAAGACAGAAAATATGTGCAAATTATTTACATATAACTTGATAAATGACCATTTTTATGGAGATCATGAAGAGTGTACCACTTTTATATTTTCATGCGACATAAGTACCACAGTACACAGTTGGCAGTGAATTATTTTAAACGTTGTAGATGTTAATCTACTATTACATACAAGTTGTACACAAATTAGAAGACAACTCTCAATGTTTATTTCCTCATATATGTAATGGGAAAATAACATCAACACAATTTTAAAGATTTGCTTGTTAATCTTTAAGAAATGATCATCACTATCACACATCTGTATTTATATCATTGCAGTTTAATGCATTTGTAATTTTCAAAATAATATAAATTGCTTAATTCAAACAAGCTGAAAGTGTCTAATTCAAGAACTACACAAACAATTAGGCCTGTTTTTATACATAGAATACTATATAATACTATCATGGAGTTATAATAATTTACATACATACACACAAACACATACATGCATCCATTTTTAAACTGGTAAGGCAGAATTTTTAATTTTGCAAGAAACTGGTGTAGTTATTCCAAATTATCTTAAACAGTTTGTACTGCAGTACCTAATTTTCCAACTACACTAAATAAAACAAATATATATATGAATTCTAGATATAAGATTCTTATGTTTATAAAACAATCACTAAAACATTTTGTGAAGCAACTAACAGAAACAACACTTTTACCAAAAACATAAACATACTTTATTTAAGTTTAAAAGAAAGTTTACATACATAAACACATTAACAAAAAGCCCTCTGCTTTGGGCACACATATCAACACTAAAAAACTCAATAAAATATCTTATAAATGACCTTAATTCGAAACTATGCTGTTTAAGGACTCATTGAAAACTTAACAGATAATACATTATTTAAAAAAATATATTCTCTAAGAATAGACTTACAACACTTGGCTGGTGCTATATAATTTAACACCAATAACTAAAAGTTTGGTATTAATCTAAGGAAGACATATTAGGCTCTAGGGATATGAAAGCCTGACAGGAAACAAGATGATTATTAGAAATACATTTCAGACTGCAAATTGGATCTGTAAGTTATTTAATAATAAACACACCAGTATGGCTTACTAGATGGAGCCAAATAAATAAATGTAATACACAAGTTTCTTGAAGATAATATTTAGTTAATTACAACATCAGACAAATAATTTAACTGAGATATATATATATACACTCAACAACTACATCCAAAAGATTTATATTAATTATAATGTTGTAGTTTACAGTTATCAGGTTTTATAGTATCTTACAATGCTTGATAAGTTAAACAAATTTCATATCCAACTGAGAATATGTTCTTTAGGTAGATCAGATTTTCAAGATCAATCAAATAAATTTCAAAATATTTTAGATTTCTAGAATAAACGTAAGGGTTTCTTTATTTGATGGCATATTCTAAATATTAATTTCAAGTGATAATAATGATAATTATATATACATTCTACAATAACTATTATTTTCTTCCAAACCAGAAAGCTTTCAAGAATATTAAACATTTATAGCAATGACTAACATATCATGCTAGGCTACTGAGTGAAAAATAAAAGATCTTCTAGGATATTAAAGGTAAGACTATATTTATTACATGAATAGAAAGAAAAAAAATTAAATTGGGCCAATACCTAACTTTCAAGGGAATTCAACTAAGGCAAATATAATCATGTTTTCTGGATTCTGTTACCTATTAAAATAGTATAAACAGATGTTAAAACACAGATACTTAACTTATAAACTCTCATATAACTTACTCTGTACACTACTTTTACTACATTTCATCTTAATGCTTCTTTAATTTTAACTCATTACACTCTCATATCTTGATTACCAAATGACCAAACCTTTCATAACCTGATGTCCATGCTCTAATCTCACATGATCTTAATGCAAATTACATGCAATTTTCTTACTCAGCCATAATCTGACTCACATGTAATAGTTTTACTCAACCATACCCTGACTTGTGTGATGTCACTGGATTACATGTATTAACTGGAAATTATCTGGCCTAGCTCAGTGGGATATACTTGTTACTTGTTTTAATGTTTCACCAAAGAGCAACCACTTTGCTAACACAACAAAAAGAATGTTCATTTTAAAATAATAATACCTATATAATTCCTTTAACGCACACCCAGTTATTTCATAGTACGTGTTAAAAAAATAATTCACTTAGAAAAATATTGATGTTATAAAGTGTAATCCATGTTGATGAAATTCCAACACTATCCTATTACAATAATTTTGAAGGCCATATTCTCTGGTTATACGACTTCTCCAGTGATTAATATGTAGATGTACAGCAGCCCTGTGAACATTAAGAAATGTATAGACTAAATATATGGAACCAGTTGAAGGAGTTACTTGTGTAATGAGCTTGAAAAAGTTGGTCCAAAGATATTCAGCTGCCAGTTGGTCTCAGCAACAGGAACCTGAAAATTCATATTTTTTAAAGTGTGTTCTGTTTAAGTGCTACAGTCTAATAAACTTTGATAAATTGAAACATCTATTCAAAACATGTGCAACATCACTAGATCTTCTTTAAAAAAATGATATATTCAACCAACTAAATTTGATAGAACCAGAGAGTACACATTGCATTCTCAGTCTTGCTAACCTTTTTATTGTAGCCATGTTTCCTTCGATGCTAGTGTTATTACAATGAGCTGATTATGAATCAAATATTCACTATCCAATCCTGGTGTTCCACTTGGTTCAGTTTCAAATTAAGTTATCTGAATAATTAAATTTTTATTTAAGAAAATGTTTTCAAAGTAAAGCAATAGTTTCAGAGCTAAATCCTCTTTATTTACAAAATGACAAGGACTCATTTTGACCAATTACAGAAAAGAAACTAATAGGACAGTTAGTAGAGATGCACAGAATAGTACATTTGTATCTACAATAAATGTGGGCAACTATCAGTATCTATGTTCCAACTACCATAGATACTGATACTGGTAAATAAGTTAATTTTGAAAATAAATTTTTCCAGTTTCTGCTGTTGCATGCTATAGTGTTCAAATATATGACAAGAAAATGAATCAAGTTCTGGAAATATCAGTGTTGGTCAGATACAAATATGGTTAACAGTACTATCAACAAAAAATGGTATCTGTACATTTCTAATGCTTACCTTAAGTATAACTAATGAATTATTGCCAGTTAAAATAGCAATATATCTAAAAGTTAACAATGTCCACAGGAAACCTCTCTTCTAATAGTTGAAACATTCAGAATAAGTAAAGAAAATGTATTATTATACATTAGTAACAATGTTTAATTTCCATAGACTTTAAAAACATTTTACATAATTTTTCTTGTTATTCCATTAAACTATTGATCTTTTAAAAATTACATTTGCATGCTTCATCATATAAGACCAAAATAATTTAACTTTGTAAATTTTTTGTTTTTCTAGTTTAGTGAAATTCAAAGTCATATAAAATGTGAAACATTAAATTATCAGAGTACAGTTTCCAATAAGGCCATGAAATACAAAAGTGCTGAAAATAACTGTTATAAAATTTTACATACTAAATGAAATATTTTTTCATTGACTAAAAAGTAACACAGGCTACAAAGCACCCATTATTGCAATTATAAATAATGAAACTGTTATAATAATAACATAAAACTTGGAATTTTTGATAAACAAAAGTAGACAGCTGTTTGATTTCTTACTTTTCGAAGGCCTGATCTTCCTTGAAAGTTTCGAATGTCTATCAATAGTTGATCTCGAGGGTCTATGTCAGAAATATCAGAGACTGTCTTTTTTGTAGACTTCTTTGTGGATGACAGGAACTCAGCAGTTGTACAAACAGGAGGTACTGGTGGTGGTAGAATATTAGTTAAGTTAAGAGGTTTATTTTCTGTTTTAAGTTCAGTTACAGTCTTGTTGGTTTCGGTTTTTATACCTGAGTATTTGCACTTTTCTGAATCACTAACATTTTTCAGTTCAGATGTTTCCTTTAACAAGTTTTGCACCACCTCATTTGAGAATCCTTTCAACACAGGAGCACCAAAGTATGAATAGGTTGCTCTTGGTTTATGAGTGTTCATGTTTAGTTTAATAATTGTTGGTTCTTCAAAAGATGTTTGTTTAGTAAGAATACGTTTATGCCCTTCTTCTGTGTTTTGCTTTTGTTTCCATGTCAATAAATCATTGGACATTGTTAAGTTTGGTTGAGGTTTTTCAGTTTGATTAATCACTGAAATATTTAACTTTGGTTTTACTTCTGGCTGTTTTGAGGAACAGTTTGACTTATTAGAGTGGAGAGCTCTACAATTTTCATTTGTGATAGTTGCTTCCTGATCTATATGTTGGGAAACCAGGTTTTCTACACTGTGAAACTTAGGCCAGCTGGGATCCTCTTGAAAGCTTCTTTGTTGCCATGAGCCAATAGTAACATTTGCCAGCATATGGGATTTTAGTCTTTGATGATCCTTTTCAGATGAAACTTGTCTTGTTTTAGTTTCAATCATGCTGACACGAGGTAATGATTTTACTTTGGAAAGATTCTGACTTTTTGCCTTAAAACGATCTTTTATACTTGCTCTTGTACTCTCAGTTAGGAGAGGATTTTTTTCTAGATATGATATGCAAACATTTGTGGTTATTTCTCCATTTTGGAAAATTTTCTGATTCTCAGCCACTTTCTGCTGCCACCCAAGAAGTTTTTCTTCGGTTGTTTATACTTTTCTTGGAGTTCTTGATCTTCATCTGAAAATTCTGGATCACAAGATTTATTGCTGACACTGTGCTGAGACTGGACCCTTCTCAAGGTCTCCAAGACACCATCATGCATTTTTTTCTGTAAGAAACTTTGTCTATGATTCACTAGATTTAGCATTGATGTGGATCTTCCAACCAAAGGTAAACATTTTAGGTCATTGAATTGTGCACACTTGAGTCTAACATGACCTCTGAAGTCTTGAACATATGCTTCTTTAATACATGCAGCTGGAGCTTTAGAAGTTACTTCAATCTGATCTTCTTCACCATTAACATTTAAATTTTGGAATTTTGGTGGATTTTCATTTTGTTCTTTTACAAACATCTGACTAGAAGGTTTAGTTTCTAAATTCTCTTTCTTGTACTCAGAAGGTTTTTGAGCAGCACTCAGTGATTCATTAGAAAGATGACAAACATTATCAGATCTTAGAAGCAATTCTGTCTGTATTCTAGAATTAGGTCTGTAAATATTTGCTTCACCGTTTTTGTAAGAAGTAATTATAAAATTGGTAAGAGATGTTCCGCGTTTGAGTTTGACATTAACAACTTCCTCTTCAGTATTGACTGACATGCCATCATCATGTGAGGTTAAACCATTTGTCTTAATACAAACCTCACTAGAACTCTTTTTTTTGTCTTCATTTTGTTGGAGATGACTATTAACACCATTATTTCTTCCTTTAAATGAAAGCGGCTCTTCAGGAAGACAGTTACTGCTAGACAATGGTTCATTTATGGTCATATCATTTACCTGCTGTTCAACAGCTGAGAAATCTGTGTCAATATGGGACAGATGTCCATTGTGAGTAAGATCTGAATCAAACTGAGCATTAAAAGTTTTGTTTGAAGTCCCGTTGGCAATTCCTGTTGGTAAAAAACTCCTGCATTCTTCTGTAAAGAAACAAATGAATAATAAACTGTAGTGGATAACACTACAATAATAAATACCACACAAGAACATGCATTTCAAATTTCTCTTTAAAAGGGAGTTGGATATTAGAAGCCACCCATCTGAAAGAGCAATTTCACCTCACCACTCTGAGTTTCATGGAGTTCATGTTTCAACATTACAAATATAAATAACCCATTTTAAGTTTCTTTTATACATTCAGGGGTGTTGAGAGCCAACCCAGGCCCTGGGGTCATTAATATTATTGCCCCCCCCCCTTTCAATCTATTTATTATGATTTTTCATAAAAGAAATTTAGGTGACAAATTTCTTCATGAATCCATGAAAAAGCAGTAGCCATTTTAGCTTGTTAAGTAGTATGCATTTCTAGTGAGCATTGGAATATCCCACTGCCGGGCCCATCAACTGACCCCAGGCAGGATTCCTTCTGCATTACACACACACACATATATATACACACACACACACACAATGATTTGCTCTCTCTTGCTGTAATAAACTATACACAGTTTGTTAGATGAATTTTCACAAACGGAAGTATCAACTCCAAACATCATACATAACATGTTATATTAGAACTCGCATGATTTTCTAGCATCACTTATTTTTCTTTTACACAATCTATCTTGTTTGGTATTGCATTGTCTAAGATACTATACTATATATTTAACAATTTATAAAACTCTTATACAAGTTTTTAAGAAAGCCTGACTATCATTTTCATATGTTGTTCACAATCTTTTATATCAGTTTTCAGTTTCTAGGTGCTTTACTAAAACATTCTTATTTTATGCACAACATGAAATTTAAGAATCCATGAGTGAATGCAAAGGAGAATGTTATAATATGCCAACTACATTACACCTGTGATATACAGTATCAATGAGGCCTTTCAAAGAAAGCTGTATACAACTTTCATATTTTCGTTCAATTGTATTTACTACTAACATTCCTTTAACTTAAGAAACATTCTCCTATGTATGTCTTCAACAATTAAATGTTGTTTAACTTTACTATTTCACACTATGCTTGAAAGATGGTGTTTTTTAAAACTGTAATACCATTAAGAAACCACACCTGAAGCATTTTGCATCTGTAAACTTACACCTAGAATGCACGAATGAATGAATTGATAAGTTAATCTTTCTCAAAACAATATGTAGATTAAAAATTTTCCTTAATTTCCAGCTTCTAGAATGTTCTTTAATTATCGTTTCTATGGGAGATCCTGTTTGACCTATATATACACTATTGCAGTCTTGACACATTAATTGGTAAACACAACTGTTGCTGTACTCTTCAATTCTGTTTGTTGTTGCACAAACTTTTCCAATGTAGCTCATCTTAAATCATTTGTTTTTGTTGTCATTTGGTACAGTATGTGGATATATTGATTTTAAATTTATGGCTTTCAATTTTTTAAAATAGTGTGTTAATTGACTTTGTGGTATAACCATTGTTAACAGCAATTATTTATAGTTTTTAATTCAGTTTTATAATCTTCAGATGACAAGAGTACAGTGATAAGTCTGTGTAACAAATTATGGAACATGGCACATTTGTGAGGCACTAGATGTCTTGAAGTATATATGATGGTGTCACTATAAGTCAGTTTTCTGAAGATTTTGAAGGAATGTATGCCATTGTTTATGTCAATATTTAAGTCCAAAAAATTAATGTTTTCGTTTTCAACAAATTCCATAGTAAATTTAATAAATTTAGAAAAGTTACAAAATTGTCACGTTGATGTTTGGATCCTGTCCAGAGATAGATCACATCGTCAACATATCTATACCAATATTTAACATGTTTTGTATTATTTTCACCATTAAACAATATATTCTCTAAATTATCCATGAAAACTTCTGCAAGCAAAAGACCCATCATTCTGTTTATATATATTTGGACATTAAATTTGATGTAGTTCTGATCTAGGCAAGTGGTTGTTATTGTTTTTAATTCCTGGGCTTGAACAGGGTTTACTTTTTTCTATATCTATTAAATCACTAACAATTTGTTTACATTCATTAACAGGAATACTGGTGAACAAACTACAAACATCAAACGAAACAATTTTGATATTATTCGATATCTCTACATTTTTTATTTTTTCTACAAACTCCAGAGTTTTTGATAGCAAACTTAGGTTAAAAATCAGTTATTTTTGAAAATAGTTTGTGCTTTCTGTGCTAATTTGTAAGAGGGAACATTAGTATAGGAAACAATAGGTTTGATAAGGATATTCGTTTTGTGTAATTTAGGAAGTCCAACCATTATTCATACATCCTTTTTGATGTCCCAATTTCCTGTTTGACCAACTTTCTTGATCTTCTATATTCTTCTATCTTACAAGTCACTTTAAATTTTTTAAATTTGTGATTCTTTTCTTTAATTTTATCTTTTATACCCTTTGTGAGCTAACCTAATTTTTTACTTGCAGCCACTCTTTTCTTTCTATAAGGAATTTTATCTTGAATATTTAAAATTTATCTTTTAAAACATTTTCCACATTTGATCAGTGTCTCCACATAACTTAGCTGCTCCATTCACAACAGATAATTTTTGTCTCATCCCTTCAAAATTTGCTTTTTGAAATTTGTACCCAAAATATCATTATTCCAGCTCTCCATATCCAGCAAAACATTGAACCTAATAGAGCAATGATCATTTGCATCCAAATGTTCCTCAATTTCCACCCTCTCAACCATTTCTATATTTATAAAAAGTATGATACATTAGAATGTAAAAAATTTAATTACCTCAATATTTCAGTGTTAAACATTTGATTGCTGTTCCTTCTGAGCTCATCATACTAAGAAATAAATCCTTTATTTTTAAAGCGTTTTCATGAACAACTTCAAGTTTTCTTCTCATATGAATTTTAAAATACAATAAACCATGACTTTATACAATGCCAGATAAATACTTATATTCATCAAGCATTTAACCTAGTACTATTAGTAGATCTAGAAAACTTAGTATTTCTTCATAGGTTCATTGGAACGCCCAGGAATATTTCATATATGACAAGTGAAAACACTATACTATGAGTAACACTACCAAATATAATAAACTTCCTTACTGTAACCCTAAGAGGTGCATTAACATAAAATATTTCACATAATAATGAAATGTGTCCTAATTACTTGATTTACATGCTTTTAAAATGTCTGAGATTAAATAACACCATTGGATAGTACTGTGAGAAGTAAATGAGAGCATACTGTTGTTGCATCCCACAACCTTTGCATCCCACCTTATTGGAACTAGACACCAATTTGATCCAGAAAAAAACGCAAAATTTTACATATCTGTGAATAAGGTAAAAACTAGATAGCCTGGAAATTTTAGAAATAAATAGAAGTCTAAAAACAAATCCAGGAAAAGTTCTAAACAACCAAACCAACTTAAGTTCCTCCCCACTTATATCTAGGTGAATGTCAGGGTCACTTCTGGTTCTTTGTGTAAAAGATATACATGTCTGTACCTTATGGTGCTTTTACTGGCAAAACCATGGTTGTGAATAGATGATGTATTTGTGAGATGTACAGTTGTCTTAGTTTTCCTCAATCCTGTAAGTAAGGATTTCTTTATATAGATTATGGATAAACAAAATGTTAGGATGGAGGTAGGACCCTTGAGAGACGATAAAGAAAGACTTGTATCTGAGAGTTATGAGATGGCTGGGTTATTAATTCTGCTTTTTCTTCAGTTTTTACTAATGAAGATTTAAGAAGTATTCCTCATCTTGAACACTTGATAGATGGAAACAAGATCAAACAAGGTGATTGCATTAATTTTGAGCTTAAGATAAAACTTGAAAGTTTAAAAAATGATAAGGCTCCTGAGCCACATAATATTTCCCCAAGTATTTTAAAGGAGATTATGGATTGGGCTTTTAAGCCATCCAAGCAGTGTGCTGTGGATAGTGGTAGGACAAATAGGATTTTAGATTGGATATACAGAAATACTGAATACAAGTCTGAAGAAGTTATAATTTCATGACATAGGTCACTGGTTAGATCACATTTGGAGAAACGTGTTCAGTCTTGGGCTTCTTACCTTAGGAAGTGTCAGGGTTTTATTGTATATGGGCTAGGATTCTTTACAGTAGGTGCCTTCTGTGACTTGTTGCCGATAAATTCGAACAGTTGTATTTAAAGCTTTAAATAATTCTTTTTTGTCAAAAGTTCACACAAGCTGATTCAATTACTTTAGAATCCAACTGACAAGAATTATTTTCCTCTACTCTTTCTTTTTCTTACTGTAGATTCTGCAATAGATTTACTTATGTTACTCCGTGGGTTATCATAGTTGTTTCTCAAACTTTAAATAATTGTTTCTTTTTCATCAAAGTCCACACAGATGGATTCAATTACTTTAGAACAACCTTTGACAAGATAAATTATTTTTCTTATTACTGTTGTTACAATACAGCTAAGAAACACGTTATAGAAATCACCCATTAAAACTAATCGCTTGCACACTGGTTAAATTTACTTTTCTTTAACTAACAAATTGATTTTTCTTGACTGAACTTCACTTGCACTCACTTGGTTGTCTATATTTATACATTTTCCAACTGAGGCCTAGAACCTTCTACAAATTAGGAGATGATATGATGTAACAATACTGACGTAGCAAGAAAAAGTTAAAGATTTTGAGAAAGATGATGTCAACAATACTACAACAATTGAACTATACACATAACGTATGACTCTTACCGAGTTACATAACGAAATTTGTCATAATTATCACTTTTAAAATAATTACTTTTTCACTCTTGCTATGAAAACTAAATAATCACTAAGTATTAAATCACTAAATAAACTAAATACTAACTCTTACACTAAACAGTCTTGTATATCCAACAGGAAGGACATTGAATTGTTGGAAAGGGTTCAGAGGAGGGCTACTAGAATGATGCCTTGGATGGAGAGGTTGTTATATGATGAGAGGTTAAGATATCTGAAATTGTTTTCTCTTGAAAAAAGAAAAGTTAGAGGGGATCTGATTGAGGTGTTTAAGCTTGTAAATGGAATTGATAGTGTTGATACATCATCTTTTTTTTTTATACTTAATGGCGAGAATAATAGGACTATGGAACACAAATATAATTTCTAGTAAGGTAGGTAGGAGTCATCTTCAACTCTTACAGTTTTATTTTTCTAACAGGGTGGTTGGCCTCTGGAATCGCTGCCTTTGAATGTTATGGAGACAGTGAGTTTAAGAGAAAGCTTGATAACTATACGAATAATAAGGGCTAGTTTCAAGTTTTGAAAAAAAATTATTTAAGATGGGAAAGCTGAGATGGAGATCAATAGGTCCCTTGTTGTCCCTAAATATTATGTTATGTTAAATTTTCAAACAATTTGTCTCATTATATTAAAAAGAAAGTATAAAAATTGTAGTATAATGACAAAAACAGAGGTATATCAGTCTTTTTTTTTGTAAGATATACATTTTTCATCTTTCCCTCTTTAGAGCTAAGTGTAACTTCTTTTTCGTTCCTTCTCTAAGGCTCAACTCTGTATTCTCTCCTAAGCCCAATGTTACTGTTTTACTCAATCTACAAGGCTCATACTTTTTTTGCTTAATCTGAAAGGCTCACACCTTTTTTATACCCTTTTTTTCCACACCATCTATAAAATTCATACTTTTTTACACCATCTACAAGGGTTCATATTCTCTTTTAGACCATCTACAAGGATCTTTTGTTTGTTCATCCACAAGGCTGAAAAGTCTTTCTTTCTTGCTCCATATCTAGAACTCAGCCTTACCTCTTTTTTGTAACGTCTTCAAAAGTCAATATTACCTTTTTCTTGTTCCCACTTCAGGGCTCTCTCACCCTCTGCAATGGTCTGTCTGAAAGTGTTCTCAATATCATCTAAGGTGTTAATAGAAGACAAGCTATTCTGCCGCTGATGTTGACCATCTGTCATTATTTGTTCTCTTGAAGATGTTGAACCTAATAATGGAAGAGCATTCACTTTAACAGTTTACTCCTAACTTCAAGAACTTAATCTTATTGAATCAATAATGTTGTCATGGTTCAAATGTTTTTCAAAAGAAGTCATGTAAACATGTGTTGGCTAAACAAACAAGTATTGCAATATTCAACTGGGGCTTTTACAGTACTTCTATAATCAGACTGAACATGCACTTAAAATATTCATTCCACTTTTTTCTAATATAATTTAAAAATTGTTAAAATCAATCAACCATGCAGTTTAAATTATTCTATCTGGGAAGAAACAAAAGGGCTATATGATATTGAAATAAAAAATAAAAAAGATAAAAAAGCTGAGTTTAAATAAATAAATATATATATATGTGCAGAAAATAAAAGAGTGATGCAATTTAAGAGTTCAAGAAAACATTGAATTACACATACATGATAGTAAAAAATCTGAAAATTTGAGAAAATAAATCAAAAGATCTTTCTTGAGCTCTTCATATTTAGGGTATGATTTGGTTAAATTTGAGAACATCAAAGTTATCAGTGGGCCCTGCCACAATGCAGAACATAGAAGAAACAGTATAGACCATGCAATACCCAGGTGGTCCTAAGTTTTTCAACCTAAAAAAAATATCAAAGTACAGACAGATGATCAGGATATAAAAGGAATTACCACAAAGGAGAAATACAACTGGAACATGGGCCATTTTCAGGAGGAAAATTAAAAATGGATTTATGTATAAAGGAAATGAAAGCAACTATTAGTACTTGAGTATCAATATTCCACAAAAGTATAGTTGGCTGGGTACTTTCTTAATATGTAAACATAAGTAGACAAGAAAAATGACGTAAAAAGTTTTCAGTAATATTTGAATACTGAAAAGTTTCACAGAGTTATTTAAAGATCTGATGGAGTTATTTGTAGCTAAAATCAGCATCAATTTCATTTGGATCATCTGTAAAGAAAGATGTAGAATTTAAAAACATATCAGATTGAATGTACACATACTGTAAAGCAAATCATTATGATCATGAGATGGTTGGGTTATTAAATTCTACTTCTTGTTCAATTTTTACTAATGAATATTAAGCATTATTCCTTATCCTGAACAGTTGCTAAACAGAAGCAAGATTGAACAAGATTATCATATTAATCCTAAGCTTGTTAATAAAATAATTTCGAAGTTTAGAGGATGATAAAGTATTTTCCCAAGGGTTCTTAAGGACATCATGGAACTACTTTTCAATATTTTCTCTAAGCCTCTCAGTAGTAGGGTGGCGCCACATAATTGGAAGTTGGCTCATGTTAGTTCACTTTTCAATGAAAATAATAAAAATTGTTCCATTAAATATATGTCTATTAGATTTACATCAGTGGTGGGAAAAAGGCTTTGAAAGTCTAATAAAAGATGCTTTGCAAAGTCATTTAACAAAGTTTAAAATTTTATTGGATAATCAGCATAATTTAACTAGAGGGAAACCTTGCATTACTAATCTTTTGATTAGAGAATTATGTATTAATTAATTATGATTATGTAGATAAGGGTTTGGGTGTGGATTTGGTGTAAATCGATTTTCACTAAGCATTTGACAAAGTGCCATATAAATAACTTAACAAATTTTATCCTTGTAGGTGTAGCTGGTATATGTTGGCTTGTTGGAAAGAAAAACTGACTGGATGAAAGAAAGCAGAGGGTTGTAACAAATAGTGTTCAGTTAAACTGGATTAATGTCACAAGTGGGGTACTCAGGCTAGTGATATGACTTTTGCTCTTTTTGATTTACATCAATAACATCAACAAAGGAATGGTCAGTAAATTATTCAAATTTGCTGACAATATCAAGGCCTTGGGTGTTGCTAGCTGCGAGGAGAATGCTATTGCTTTACAAAATAATTTGGATTATTTATTAAGTTGGAGGAATAAATAGTGGGTAGTTTCACGTTTTTATATGCATGGATGGGTCAGACTCTTTACACTACGTGTCTGTGACTTGTTGGTGATAATATATATAAATGTTCATTATATTGTTGGTTATCACAGTTATATCCAGTTACAGTTTTTAAAGAATTGTCTCTTTTCATCAAATGTCCACACAGATTTGTTCACTTACTTTAGAACACAATTGACAAGACAAATTATTCTTCTATACTTTGTTGTTATATTACAATCTGTGATAATTTCTCTTTAAAATCAACACAATAACTATTGGTTATCACAGTTGTATCCAGAGCTTTAAATAATAATTTTTTTTCAACAAAGACCACACAGGCTCATTTAATTACTTTAGAACATAGTTGATACTACATATTTTTTTTCTACTCCGTTATTACAATACAATCTGTGATAATTCACTTTAAAAATTGGCATGATACACTCTTTATGGCTAAACTCACAATCATGCAGTCTAGATCTAACTAACTAGGGTATAGGGCCAAGTAGAGGGCCATTTGGCCCAGGCCACAAGCTCAAATGGGGCCTCAAATTTAGACACTTGTTATTTTTTGCATTTGTTAAGTTTTGCAACTTGTTTTTATGTGTGTTTCAATCAGATCAAAATATGACAAACTTTCAGCTTAGAGCTGCAAATTATATTCACAAAATAATCATTCAAATTATGCTTCACTTTTCTTTTGGGCTAACGACTGTCTTGTTTTGTTTTCATTTATCATTATGTTATTTTATTTTTTTTTATCAGAGCCAGGAGCCTCAAAAGATACATGTGGACTGGCCCTCTATGAAGATGGAGGAAACAGGCTATGTCTAAAAAATCTGCAGTTATGCAAATGGTACTGACTTGTAATAAATATTTGTTTCTGAAAGCTAAATTTGAACCAGAAATAGGGCTATAATATGGTTCAACAAACTATAAGAAGTTTTGTAGAGCCAAATGAACTCAAGACCTCTAAGATAATGTTACTTTACAATGACTTTCTTAGATGAGAAGAGTAGAGTTAATAAAAAAAAAGAGACAAAGTTATATAAAAGCTGTAATAATAGAAAAAAATATTTTTTTTATAATATGTGCAATTTCATATGTATGATAGTTATTTGTCTAATTCCACCTTACCTTCATAAAGTAAATGTTTAACTCACCAACTTCAGATGTATTTTGAGAATCCTCAATGGTTCTTTCATTACTGCCATTAGCACATTCATGTGGAGGATTAGGTTGGATTGAAGATAGGTCATCACTCTCCTTTGAGAACACTGATTCTATAACAAGCTCACTACCATGGACTCGAGGTTCAGGAGTATCCTGGACTGTCAGTAGTTCTTAATGGGAGAAAAAGTGACAAATCAGGTTCTTTTGGGCAGAAAGATTAATTTTCCAGCAATATTGTGATCTTAAGCATGCAGCAAACATGGTGAAATGATGAAAGGAAAATATGTAGCTGATAGAACATTTGCAACCATAGCTTTGCCTGCAAAACATCTAAATATCATTATTGTTAAGACTTTATGGGCTTAGATGGAAGCTGAGAAGGTCGAACAGGAACCAGACAACTGTATTGATTTATTTGTTGCATGATGTTAAGCAGAAAGCTACATAATGAACTATCTGTGCTATGCCCACCACCAGGCCGGCATTACCATTAGGCCAACTAGTCAGCCGTCTAGAGCGCAGACCTCAAATTCGTTGTTTTAAGAAAAAACATAATAAAAATTTTGTGCTTTTTATTTTTTCTACAAAACATCTGTTCTTAAAAATCGAAGTTCGCTAATTTTTTGTTTGGGGGGGGGGTAAAAGTAGCTGGCCTTGCCTAGGGCACAAAATAGTCTGGTGCCAGCCCTGCCCACCACAGGAATGGAAACCTGGTTTTTAGCATCATAATTCAAACTTACTGCCAAGCCCCTGGGGGCAACTTTGTTATATTGTGAAGAGTAATACAGATCAAATGGATAAAATTTCACAATCAAACATTGGTAAGCATATAGTAGTATAAAAACTTCTCTGTTTGATGTAAATACAAAATGCTAGTGTATTGTGCTACTTATTCTATTTTCTTTTACATTTTCTAAAATAGTGTATTCTGTTACAGTTGGAGAGACTGCTCCTTTGTGTTTATCCTCTAACAATTTCTAGGCTTTTGCATTTGGACCTGTCAAATATGGTTTAATCAACTAAGAATGATTTGGGGTGTGTGAAGAAGTTATTTTTTTCAAATTCATAGATTTCATATCTCCAGTGATGGCTAAATATAGATCAGTCGGATGGGGTAGCCACTATGGGTACTGATGGGATTTCTCCAGTTTCCTCTTTCACTGCACGGGGTACACATACAATCTATGTACTTTCAATCATTACTGGCATACTTAGGGCAAATAGGACAAAAACAAACACTATTTATGTTCACAACTGGTCAAACATTAATTTAACAATTGCATTTTGTTTTCAAATCCCATCAATTTTTTGAGGGATTTCTTTTTCACACATTGTTTATACATATTTTCAAGATACACTTTTATTAAGTGAGATGTTTTTAAGTCTCGTTACTTATTGTTCTTCGATAGAAAAACTAAAATACAAAATATTATTTAAATAGGCAAACCCAGAAGACATGAATAATTCCACTCTTACGTACTTTCAATCTTTATATTGGGACTGGCATCTTAGAAGAAAATATATTTTTCTGTCTCTGCAGAAAAACAGTGCTTTTCTATTGTCTCTTATTCAATTTTTTCTTTTCTTCTTCTTCCAAACACTTTTCAATCGACCATCATTTCCTTCATTTCTTGGAAGACTAACTTGAAACTTGTTAGAGTTATACCTTAGTCCACTACACCCAGACTACTTTTTCATTTATTTGGTTTAGGCCTTTTTAAGGATTTTATGGGGTTAAAGGTCAAACAACCAAGGAAATGTATATTCTAGGTTCCTGCATGGTCATATTTATGGCAACCAAAATGAAAATTGGCATAAATATAAATTTTGATGCACACAACACCTTGACATACAAAAAAGTTAGATTAGCTCATTCTGAGTCTTTTTTAGAGGGGTCAGAGCTCACTAAATAGCAATGTTTAGGATTTTTGGTCAATTACTCAGCCATATTTTGACCAATTCACATGGGATTTGGCATAAACATAGTTTTCTACAGGTCCTATATACATACATACATACATACATACATATATATATAGAAATTTGGGATATGCCTATTTTTAAATCATTTTGTGGGAGGTCAAAAGGTGAAAAAGCATACTTTTAGGGGTTTGGTCCATTTTTTGGCTATATTTTGACCAATTGATGTGGGATTTAGTATAAAGATACTCTTTTGCAGGTTCCAAAACAGAAATATAGACAATTTTAGAATTTGTCTTTTGCTTAACTTGGTACAAGTTAAGACTTGTTAAGACTTTTTGCAAGTCTCAAGCAGTGATATCGATGACCAATTTTGATTTTCCTGGTGTCAAATTTGGCCATGTTGGGATTGAGTGGCAGAGACACGTTGCATTCACCCACAAATGTTTGACCTCTTTAATTACATTCATAATAGTAGAAACTTAGTTTCCAAACCTCAATGGTTTGAGGAATTTAACATTCAATGATATAAACATATAACAATACCTATCAACAGTATGTGCTTTATTATAAAACATCTAAGTATGCATGCACATTTCTTTTTTGTATTTTCACATCAATCATGGTGTGATCATGCTAAAGAAAGTACACAAGAGAAGCTTATCAAGAATAGAAAGGACAACTGAAAGAAAAAATATTGTGAGTGCATACATAGCCACAAATCCCAGTAAATTTGTAGTCATAGATAATACAAAACAATGAATCTT